CTGTTCACCTGGGATTTACTTTCACACCCCTCTTCTCTGCAGTGGGAATTTAATGCTCATTCAATAAAATCAGATGGTCTACATGTAATTGCACCTGGAGTAAAGTCTTCATAATTGTGAGAACAGTAAGGTGCCCCTTGTCAAAACTTCACAACTAGTTTTCTGAACAATCTGGTGCTGTCTACTTTCATGAGACGGATTTGCAGACACAAACAAGTGGTGATGTTTTAAAATCTAATCTCTAAAGTTGTAAATGCTTTCCAAAACTAGCAAGTATACCCTATTGGTTTCCTATAATAAAACAAGGCTAAAAAAGGATTATGAAAGGAGTTGAATCCTGTAGTTCCACATCATCTGTACAATCATAAATATACTCTCCTTAGTGTAAGTACTGGCCCACATCGAAGCTCCTAGTGCCAGTCTTTCCCCAAATACATTGGAAGTGATGCTGCAGCCCATTAGCACCCAGCCTTGGGTCCCACATCTGTGACACGAAGGAAGGCAGCCAAAGCTATTGCATGTGCTGAAGACCATCCTACTTTTTAAAGCAACAATAGGTAGTGACTGTTCTCTCTCATTTTCATAAGGTTAAGTGCCTCTTGCTCCTTGTACTTGCTCAACACAAACAATGGATCACAGACAGCACAACCAAGAGAAAAGAAAGACCAGGAACCCAGCAGAGGAGCATCTAAGAAAACCTAATACTATGTTCTTTTCACTATTCATTTCCCATAGTGGTTTAATAAGGGTTCAATAAAATGGCCACCTTCTAAAAATCTGTGAGACCACAAAAGCAGTTCAGCTTGGGCATTGAAGTTCTAGGTCTCAGGACGTTCTGGGAAAAAAAAGACTTAGCAGATCTGTCAGTTGTTTCCTGGGGGATAATCTCAGCCAAAGAAAGCCAGTTCGTAGGCGGGATTTTTCCAAACTCCAAGAAACATAACCACAAAAGCAGAGAGATTAGCTTCCTTTGGAAACTGTTATTTTTACTAATCCATTATGTATAAAAACACTGCAAAATATTATTTATATTGTTTTGGCCAATTCTCAAACTCAACATCTCTCTTTTGAAGGAGCTTGAAGTCAGAATTATAACTGCTGCCCAACATACCAGGCAAGAGAAAGCAAAACTGAACACCTTTGTTCCTTGCCATACCACTGCAGAAATAAGATGTTTGTTTATGACCTTCCTCACTATCCTGTATATTGCTCCTGCCTTTGTTTCTCATCTGGTGCACCAGAACCACTTCCTCTAACTGTGGCTGTCAAAAGTCCTTCTTAACTGACCACAGGAAAGACGACAGGTTTAAAACAATAAATATTACCAATTGTTTTGCTCAATTTTCTAGACCTGGAGAAGCAGCTAAAAATTACTTCTGCACTTCTGTTGGCATACTTTTAGATGCATGACTATTTGGTTGCAAAGGTATGAACGCAATTCTACTAATTATTGCCTTACCTCTGTAACACCACAAGTCAACAATGCTGTGACAAAACCTGGATTTCTGCTCTGGATTCAGATACCTGCCCCTGTTAGGTAATATCTACAATGTATCCTTATGTCAGGGATCTTTTCCTTATTCCTTAAAACAAGCTTATTCCTTTGTCCTTTACTTTTTGCATAAGAAACCATTATTATTTGTTAGGAAGTGCACCCTGAACCAGAACTCCTCCTTATCTTATACATTCCTGATTTGACATGCCTTACCCATTTTGACTCATTTGATTATCTCAAAAAAACAAAAATCCTTTGCGCAATGTAATAGATTATAATTCTATTCCTTTAGAGTTTCTAGTCCATTTTATTACAACTCTCCCATCATTCAAATTCAAAATACAGCGACTCATCTTTTCATCTTAATTTTTTTGCCTCCTGTGTTCCATCCCTTTCCTTCCTGCACAAGCAGCATACACGGTGACTGTAATGTGGAATAATCTTTCAAATTGTATGCAAGTGAAGTATTTCAGATGGTATCTTTTCTTTGGGACTTTGATAATATGATGCAACTTGGTCACAAGAGGAACTAACACTGAAAGCTAAACTCTTCTGCTAGATTTCAGTGTGTGGGGAAATATTACAAACATTAAGTTGTGTCTGGATATTCACAAAGATTAGCTACATTTTGTTAATGCTGGCTTTCCCCAAAAGCTTTCTCAAAGTGCGATTAGGAACCACTAACCTAGGTTGCTTATAGAGCTACTTCTCTCATTTCCTCCATCAGTGATGGAGGAAGTCTTGTCTATCAGAATTGTTAGATAATACTTTAATTTAGTGAATACCACATTCTCTTCCCCCAAGTTACTATTTACCAGATAGACCATAGTGTGGTAGTGGATGTGAATGGAAGCCTCAACTGGACAAATATATTGACATGAAAGGAATGTTGTGCTACAAAACTTCTCTATATCAAGTCCAATAATTATGGACTTCAATTTACTTCGATGAGGGAAAGCTAACTACAGTAGTTGAATCCCAAAAGAGGATAGAAGGGAAAAAGTTTTAACTATCAATCTGCTTACCTCTCCATACTTTCAGTGACTTGGCAAAGGGAAAAGACAGACTTCTCCCTTGTCCTTTCAGAACATACCCCATTTGGGGCAATTGAATTGTAGCTGATGTCCTGGAGCAGTTACCAATTGCTTATTTTCAGAAACCCACAGGTGGGGAGGAAGAGATGCTGCCAAAAAAAAAAATCTCACAAACCAACAGAACAACCCCACAAAAAGCCTCATCACAACTACAGAAGATTAAAGCTGTTGACTTAAAACAAGTTTTACAGAAAATGTGCAGTACTTCCTCAGGACAACTGCAGCAGTCGAATAGCTGCAGGAGAATGAAACAGGCCAGTAAACATTCACTTTTCAGAAAGGAAACAAAAACTCCTCCCAACAGGAAAAGCCATGATTAACTTTGATCTGCAGTGAGTATTTAATGTAAAGACTCACCAAAAAGGTATTTGTGTCCCAAACTTGAACTGTGATTTCCCTAGACTGAATCCAAGCTTTGCCACAAGTTCTTGCTTTGGCATTTAGATAGGAAGTGGAACACAAGAGACAGACTAATTCCAGCATCCTCTCTGTTTGAAAGAAGAGTTATCAGCAATACTTGCTGAACTTGTATGGAAAATGGACTTTACTTTGGAAACAAAACAAGCCCTTGCAGCATCGGAAGCTCAGTCAGCCCCCTGAATGTTTCAGTGCAAATCAAATGACAAGAAAAGTGGGATATGTGAAAAGGAACAATGACAAACTCCTTCCATGGTTAGAAAGCTTCACATGAGGAGAAAACTTGCCTCACAATAACCTACATTCTTCAAAGCTTTCAGATAAAAGTGATTTATTACAGAAAATAAGATAATTTCACAGTGAATCACTCTGACTTTTGTTCAAAATGCCCTAGTGTTGTAGCACAGCTAAATTAAGACTCATTTAAACAAAACACTAATTCAAGCTCTCCAGAATAAAAAGAAATTAAGTAATATGACTTAATGGAAGTCTCAGTAAAAACAAACAAAAAACCAAAACCCCAATCACTAATACATTAATTAAAAGAAAAATTGATCACTCCCTTTAAAATCACTAAGAAAAAAAATCACTGCAACAAATTAGCCTCATACAAATATGAATTTTATTTACAATTTTCCAAATTCTCAATCAAATGCAACTTCTCAGTTAAACGTGTAGCATTTCTCCTTTAAAACAAAATAAACATTGTGTTCTTTTTACATCTGCAACGTGGAGTCCATAGGTACATGCTATTTGGGGCATCTAATGAACAAATTTAGATCACTGTGTGTGTTTAACACCGAAGGTATTCTGTGAAGACTCTTTCTTCAAAATGTATCTGCCTCGGGGAGAAACATTTCCATAACCACCTTCTAATGACAATTAGTTAGGAAGGATTAAAAACCCAGTATTTTATACCAGGACATACTGTTCACATATATTTCAGGGTGTGTTACCATGTTCATATTGCAAAGTTGCCTGCTCTATAAGCAATGCCACTGAAATCAGACTAAAGATTACCCACAGATTTAGATATTATTCAATGTGAATAAAAATGGCCATTGATGACTTTTACTCGAGTATGTGTAATTATGGGCCAATCTGTACCTGATCTGGTACCAGTGTGATGTGATCTGTTCTGAAACTTGAAACCGCATGGGTCATTGTAATAAAATCTTTTACAACTGTATTGCACATAAGGTTCCTCAAAAGCACAAATCTACATAACCATGTCCTTAATTTACCTGCTAACTCTCATGAATAAAATCAACCAGATGCTAAAATTGTTTATTTTTCTCATCCCAGTGTCTGTGAATGAAAAGAAGAGGGAGAAGATATATACACTTTGGAATCCATTCAATTATTTGTTTCTTCTGCATGTGATTTGTACTTCAGAGATGAGGATCTTAAAAAAATAAAATAAAAAGCCAGACAGACCTTGGATTTATCTTTAAAAGTACCTCAAAAACATAACAAAAATTCAATTTAATTTTGATACATATTAAAACATTTTAGTCAGTTCTGCCCGACAGCGTAACACGACAGAAATGCACAAGACTTTAAACATGCTTTAAAATGACATTCAACAAAGTATTTAAAATTTAATAAATAGCATACAATCACACACAAATACATTTCATACTGGATCTTTAAGCCTACTAAAAACAGACTGGCAAAGAATAAATAAAACAGTAGTTGACATTTTTGTTTTTAAAAGGTGTAGATTCTTGTTGTCACGCTAGTAGCCATGTATTAACCTGCTTATCACAAAATTGGAAGTTATGAGCTTTTTTCCCACTGATCTGTTTTGCTCCAACATGTAATATGATAAAAAAATACACTAAAAGGGATTTCTTTTTTTTTTTTTAAACAACCAGTCTGCAACCAAGTAAACCAGTTTTTAAATACAATGAATAAATAGGGAATTAGTAAAGCAAATTCAATTGCAACAAAAATGCAACACCCCAAGAAAAGAGCCATGGAAATATATAGCCATTGCAATATTAGACAATAATAGTACTTAAAGTGATAGTGCTTGTGCACTAAGCTCATTAGAGACCTTAATATGATTTTAGTGCAAATCCCTTGAGTCCAAACAAGCGTTATACCCTACAGTATTAGGGAAAAAAAAAGGAACTTATTCTGTAGTGTATTTGTACATATTGGATATTTAAAGAACTAACACATATTGTAATATCTTCGGCCCTTTTTTACTTCAAATCGAAAAGACTAATGATTGGGGATTTTACATACTATTTGGTTGTACCATATTAGATTGCAGTTTAGGAAAGTCAGTGCTATAAAAGCTTTTGCCATCAGTTTATCTATTAAATCTAAATTTCACAAATCATTGCATTTTGTACTTCCGAAAGAAAAAGAATGCTCCTGGAGAAAGTTTCTCCTCCCTTTAAATAAGTTCACATTATGATGAAATTCAAGAATATTTAGACAAAGTGTTTATAAACTCAAAGAAAAGTACATATTTTACATTAACAATCCTTACCAGTATTTAGTATATTAAGTTACAAGTATGTTGGCAATAATACAACAGAGTCAATTCCTAAAGGAAAGTAATTCTGTACAAATTCACCTGTTAATATGGGGTTAAACAGGCAGCCAAATAAGTCTTGAGCAGCCATGTTTCTGGTTTGAACTACAGTACCAGGATAAACTAAATTTGAAACTAACTGGGATAACTTCAGTTTAAAGAGTAATCAGATTATACTGGATACACGCATCGTGTATTCAGAGCCATTAAAATGTTCACTCTAATAGTTCCATAACATCATCCAGTATAAGAAATGTTTAATCAACCACACAGGCTAAAATAGTTTTAACATAATGTTGTCCTGGATTTTTTAAAACTAAAAACTAGTTTTAACTGTGAAGTACAAAACAATGACAGATATTGCTCCAACTTGTACACAATCTTTCCTAAACAATCCGTACCTAGCAGAGTAATAATGCCTCATCATCACTAGTTTCATTTTTCACTGTTGCTTCTAAGCAAGTGTCAGGTATCTGGGCAGTGTGTACGATGCCACAGCTTTCACAGGGGCCATCTCGACTGCATGACCTTACACCGTGATGTGTTGCACTGTAAGGCTGCCTAAGCCCTGGTCCTTGATCTGAGCTGAGATCAAGTAGAGGTCTTGAACAGTCATTCATGTCAAAGTCTGATGCTACATCAGAGACTGGAATTAACATTTCAACATCATCATCCTCTTCTCTTCCACTTACCCCATTATCAAGCTGTCTCAAAGGACTTTGGTTCTGATTCACTGAGCTTGATCTCCCTAAAGTAAAGCGTACCCAGCGTAAGCCTTGAGTCATACGACTTAGCGCGCTAGTGAGCTGGTGACGTGCAGGACTTGTGCTTGGGGGCTCTACGCTCGTCACTTCTCTTCCACTATCCGTGTTACCGCTACTGCCGCTCTGAGCAGAGGAACTCCCACATGCTCCAACTGTTGCTTCTATTGCTGTTGCAGGTGGGACTTTCTGAGGCAAGGTGGCAGCAACACCACCAACTGCTCCTGCTATGTCTCTTCTTTCATTTTCTGTGTCTGTATCATCAGATTCAACTGAAAACAGACTTCTGTGAGTATTATTTCTTTCACCTTCTCTACTAGTACTTTGGCCGGCAACATCATCTCCATCTGCTGAGACCAATGCCAATGATCCAGAATGACGTGACCTTGCAAAATTAAAAATTCGATTCCAAATGTTACTTGATCTGCCAGCAATAGGAAGTCTGATTGAGGTAAATCCAAGCTGAGATCGTACTGCAAGTCTCAGGTTTTCCAGAACTGAAGCCTAAATGAGAAGACAAGCAACAATCAAGTGTTGACAGTATGTTGGCACTGTTCCAACAAAAGAAGAACAACAACTATTGTGCAAAACTGCATATAACCACAAAGTTAAATGTAGAGTCTTAAACATTAAAAAATGTTGCATCTTTAATATTAAGGATCTGGTGTACGTAGCAATAGGCTATTTTAAAAACAAAGTAGGCATGAAAAAAGTCTAGATTCTCTTGAGGAAAAAACATTATGAACAGGGAAATTACATGGAAATACATACGGAAGAAAAAGGGGAATAAAAGAGCGATGAAGTATATAAGGTACGTTTCTGCCCAAATCAACAACCTCTAAATAAAGGCAAACTGAAAACTAAGGTACTATAACCTGGATATGGAACACTGATTACAGAAAAGTACATCCACAGACCCAGTACAGCAGGTATGCAAGATCTGTTACATACAGCCTTACCAAGAAGATAAAGTAGTCACTGGATTTTAGAGTACAGTACATAGAAACATGCCTCAAAAAGTTTAGGATTTAAAAACGAAGTCTTCCAGAAAGATTTAACAGAGGTGACCTTTCCTTATCCACTACCATGGGGCTGCCTAGAATAGAGACTAAATTAAATATCCTCTCTAGCAGAGGCTTGTAGTTTGATATTTTTCCCATTCTGGTATAATCAGTTAATTCCAGTTTCAAAATGCTTTCATGCTTCTGTTTAATTAAAATTATCTTATGTGTTATAAACCATACATTACCCAAATTTGGTATACATTTTCTAGTCATTTAGCTATAGAACAATGCATGCCTGAATTTTTCTGCTTAAAACCTCGTATAACTTTTAATTGTAAGGTAATACAAACATATTAACACCTTTGACTTGGGGGTCTCTTACTCAAACTTACAGAAAACAGTGCCTCAGCTAAGTAGCTCAATTCTCAAATACTAGGATAGAAGATCTGCCAGATGCCCACAATTTTGAAAATATTGACAGGATAAAGTCCATATTCACATCTTTTAATGAAGATTATGGCAAAAAAATAGAATATTCTTCAGAACAGCCTTTTTATGCCCCCCAGTTAAACACTTAACATATATGCATATATTTCACTGTTTACAAACACTGAACTTGAGTGTTCTCATGCTGTCACCTTCAGCTCCCTTCCGCAATCCTTCAGACACCACAGGGCATACACAGCATCCAAACAATACTTCATGCACAACCTACCTCCTCCCTTCCAATAGTTCATAGAATGATATTTGAATTCAAGCATATAAATACATATGTTCAGTAGCCTTACTTTCAAAAGCTACTGGAGAGACTGCTACCCATCCTTGAGAATCCAGCTCTGAAGGCATGTATCAGTTTTAGGCAGAAAGTATTACATACAAATCAGAACAACCAAGATTCCTCTAGCCTGAGACTACTAACTTTGAGGAAACCTTGACTAAGTATCTTCAGTTCTACACAGATGTGCAATCTTAAGATGTATATATTGCTCAAAAAAAAGAAAGCCGAACACATCCTGACTTAATATTGACTCCCTGCCCCAACACTTAACCGTATTAAAAATTTAATTTGAGCTTTATAATTTATAGAATTCAATTTACATTGCCTCTTAAGCTTTTACTCTTACTGATGTTCTCTCGTCTGAAAAACAAATTTTTTAAATAATGCAACTTCATTGATTAAATAAGAGTAAAAGTTTTTATCATGGAAGCATTAATGCTCTAGAATGACTTCTTCATTATTTTGGAAGGTGACGGCCTGCTCCCTACTATTCCTTATTTTTATGCTAGTTAATTTCTCAGTATAGCTATTTAAGTTTTCAAGGCCACAAGTCTTACCTGAAATATTGGTCTTTATAATGGGAATTCACTAACACTTTTTCACTGTTCAAAACTATTGTATTTTTATGGAGTGTGAAATCGTGGTTACAGAGAAAGACTGTATATATGAAGCAACTACATTTTTACTATGTGTCATTACGAAAGATTGCCATTTTCAGTAAGTCTTTCAAATTCCATTATATTTTAGTTCTAAATAATAATTAAAAATATATCCAAAGCAACAGTGGTTAATTCAATTTAAGTCAAACTAAAGATAAAAGAAGATTTCAGTAATTGCACAGCTTTTTAAAAGCTCCAGTACCAATCTCGGACAAATCAGTTCTGTTCAAAATAAAAAAAAAAATTTCCCCTTCTTACGGTCTTGTAACTACTTTTCTTACATGCTATATTAGCTAACAGTAAACTTTGCTGTATTAACTGCAACACATAATACAAGTTAATGCCAACTCTAATACAGCACCACAGCAGGATTCTTAGACTGAGACTTTTCCTCTATTTCACAAAACTGAAAGTCTTTTTTTTTAAATGAAAAAGTTGTTTTGACAGAAATTCATTCATCAACCAAGTAAGAATTGTGCTTATGATCCATCTGAGAATCAAGATGGCTAGACTCTTTGTTACTCATTCCTGTTAGTTTTATATGATATTACAGCCTTGCCTTTGTTATTATCTCTTCTATGCATGGTGGGCATGATTGTACCTAAACACATATGCACAGTGGATATGAACTACCGTTTTGCATTAGAAGTCTCAATTCTTCTTACCCAAATTTTGAAGTGCTATCTTGCAATCTTAATTTATACAACAACATCAATACAGAACATACAACTAGATCTACCAATCTATTACTTTTCATGCAGGAGGGATCTATAGTGTGCATTACTGGCATTCATTAACAAGAAAAAAAGCCTGCAAAGAAAACTGTGTGGTGCTACCATGTCCAATGGCGAATCCTTAGTATGCTACTATTGGCCTGAAAGGAAGAAAAGGAAATGCTATAGAACAAAAAAATGCAGACGAAAGTTAAAATACCTTTATTTCAGTCTCCTTAAAATTTAAGTGGTCTGCCTGCTATTTTGGAATCTTACCTGATTTGGTGAACAAACAGGAAAATCTTCAACTGGTGGAATTAAACCCTGGGCAATTAACTGTCCATAGGATGGAGGAGCTTCTCTTCTTAACAGTTCAGCCTCAACCCTTGACAAATGAGTTTCAAATGATCTTTCAAAGAGAAAAGAAATTTCACAATATGTAAGACTATGATGTGTATATATATATTTAAGAGTAAAACTACATCACACTATTACAATCTGAAATAATAAATTTCAGCAAATGAAGTTTTATTAATTTAATTGAAATTTAATTGACAAAGAATATACAATTAAGTCCTTGCAGTCATTCCTATGGGTCTGTCCAGCTGAGACAAGAACAACAAAACCAACCCAATGATAAATTCCTAAAAAAAACCCTCACAAAACACGGGCTAAATATAAAAGGTACCATAAGAAATGCTTGTATTATTTTATAAAAATTGAAGAATGTGTAATCCTCGTATGAGATAGTCTACAATAGAAGAAACATGCTGTTAAATACAGAATTGAGATATTTAATTGCAGAAATGCAGCTTTTACACACTTTCTTTTTGGTAACAACATCTGAAAGCTTAACTCTTAATAGTTAAGTGATCAGAATACTTCTATCCCCTTTTCTTCACTGAAAGGGTGGTCAGTCACTTCACTGGAACCCAGAGAAGTGGTCACAGCACCAAGCCTGTCAGAGTTCAAGGAACGTCTGGATGACACTCTTAGCCATATGGTTTAGTTTTAGGTAGTCCTGCGAGGAGCAGGGAGTTGATGATCCTCATGGTCCCTTCCAACTCGAGATACTCTATAATTCTATGATTAACTAACCTCTTTCTACTGTCAAAGAAGAAGAAACAATGCCTTTAGAAATGCAACAATAATTGTATGTCAATAAAAATGTTTCAAATATAACAATAAAAGATATGAAAATATTTTAAAAATTTAAGTTCTCGAGGCCATCTGTTCTACTTACCTTCGCTCAAACATCCTGAGTGAGTACAATTTACAGGTACATCCCAGTGCAATGACAAGCAGCAATCCGCAAATAAGACTCCCAATGACAGCTGCGGTTATTACTCTCGTGGGCACAATGACTGGGCAATTCTCTTCATCACTGCCATCACCACAGTCATCTTGAGAATCACAAACCCAGCTCTCAAACACACAGCGGTTATTTTTACAATGAAAATTTCCTGGCTGACAGAAGAAACAATTTTTTTCATCTGAACCATTAGGGCAATGATTCTGGTAGTTGCAGCGATCTGAACGAGGGTAGCAAACACCATTTCGAGAGCAGGGAAACTCATCTCTTTGGCACATGGTGCAGTTGGTTTCATCCCTTCCATTTGGACAGTGCCAGTATCCGTCGCAGCGTTGCTGCTCTGTGTAGCAACCCCAATTTCCACCGCATGGAATTTCCCATGGCAAACAGAAGCCATCTACTTGATAGGTAGCATTGAATCCTCTTGCAGCATTCACTTTGTCAGCACAAAAATGCACTCTTATCTGTCCTGAGGATGAAACAACTGTGAGGGGAGCATGAGAGTCAAATGCTGTTAGCACACGCAACAGCCTCCGTGGATTCTCCTCTAATCCATCATATATTTTGACATAGTCTCCATAACCTGTACCATCAAGTTTAAAATCAGTGAATCGCAAAATTACTTTGCGATGATCACCAGTGTCTATCAGCCAGGTGCAGTTGCTTCCAGGTGGATAGAAGTCAGGATAGTTGGGAGAACTGAAAGTACCATAAAAGTATTTTAACCACTGCCCACATGTTGGCACATCACAGTCTATTTCGTCTCCTAGGTCAAGACAATCAATGTTACCATCACATTTTAAAGACTCTGGAAGGCAAGTGTAAAGCTTGGTGAAACGAGAAAGACACTGGAACTGATTACAGGCACAAGGTTGAAAGGAAGAAGCTGTCGGAGGATTAGCTTTGGCACAGATTTCTTCGTCCGAGTTGTCTCCACATTCATCCATATTATTACATTTCCAACTCTCTGGAATACACTTCCCATTAGCGCAATGAAACTGGTCACAATCACAATTTGGTTCATCAGATTTCCCTGAAAGAAAAAGAAGAAATTATAAAAATACTATCTTTTTAGAATTTAGCACTTTATGGTTTGCGTCGTAAAAAAATTCAGAATGGCAAAGCAACCATTTAAATTCTCTAAGTCATCACAACTTTCAGTAAGTTTCAGGATAAAACAGTTTTTTCAAGTTGAAATTCTGTCAGCATATCAGCACGAGCTTCATCTGTAGCTGCTTTCAGTCACATAACTTTAACCCAAGCAAGAAAACACCACTCATTTATAGTGATTGAAAAATCTGGCTTCTGAGGTGCTAAAAATAAGTCAGAAAAATACTGTTTCTCTCCTCTATATCACTCGAAATGCAGAAACATTTTGTCCTGCAGTACCAGTCACCTCCTCAAATTCTTTCCTGTAAAAGCAGTCAGATCTCTCTCCTGTTTTTGTAGGTTCCTACTTTGTACCAAGGGATCTATGGCAGGAGAGAAGCTGACAGTTGAAGATTACCTATAAGCACCAACCAAAGAGAGAAACCTCTCTCCTCACCTCTTCCCACTGTTTGCTCCTACCTCTCCTCCAGCAACTAAGAGGAGAGTGCAGCAAATGCAGAAACACATACTTAAAACATACAAAACCATACAAAATTACGCTTTACAAGTTAAGGATCCAAGTAGTGGTCCAGATAATCCAAGTAGTGGTCCAGAAAACATGGAAGTGTGGCGTTCTGGGGGTTTTTTTGTTTGGTTTGTTGTTGGTTTTTTTTCATTTTGTTTTTGGTTTTTTGTGGGGGTTTTTTGTGTTGGGTTTTTTTTTTTGGTTTTTTTTTTTCTTTTTATTCTGGGAAAAAAGTCGAGAGACACCTTTATTTAAGAAAATGCGATCTACTGGCTACTACCACACTTGTAGCATCAAGAATATTTTTTTCAGGGATTCATTTATTGAAGTTTCAACCATGTGAAACACTGAAGCATACCTGGGAAGCAAGCTATTTCAGCTCTGCAATGACTTAGCTGAGTCAAATACCACTGTATCATTTTAAAACACTGCAATTTTTAAAAAACACAGTACGGACTGTAAAATTGGCTATAAAACAAATCACTGTGGTCAATCCTCCAAAAAAATTTCAAAAAAAAATCTGCAATGCAGATGGTCCTACACAGCAGTAATGCAGGAACTAAAATAGACAAATATATACTAAATCTCTATAACACTATACTTAGGGTTTTAAAAAAAACAGGAAAGACAGTATGATGAACTTACTGAAATACAGACTTTCGCAGAAGAAGCAAGTTCTATCTTGCTTTTCAACAGAACAATTCAGATTGGAGGGGATCTCTGGAGGTCACCTAATCAAATTATCTGCTCAAAGCAAGGCTAACCAAAGTTTGATTGGGTTGTTCGGGGCCTTGTCCAATCAAGTATTTTCAAAGTTCCAGCGCTTAACCACACAAAGTGATAAAAGTCCTCATATCTAGCCTGAATTTCCCTTGCTGTAACTAATCTGATGTGATAGGTCAAGTCATATCACACCTCTGTTCTCCTTTTTGTTATTTTAGTACCTTAGAAAGCATTAAAAAGAAATACTCGACCTTGAAAAAAATTTTTTTTTAAAAAAAGGTGCGTCAGCATTTTATAAATTTCACAAATGCTAAGGTTTTTAAAAAAAGAATGCAGGAAAAAATGAAACCAACAAGAGTGATAAATGTTATAAGCACTGCTGAGGAGTATTTAAGTCAACAAATTTGCTGACAGAGAGTGAAAGGAGAGCAAAATGTATGTGCTGCCAGTGATTAAGTTTTAGAAAATGTTTATTTCACTAAGAAAAAAACAAAGAACAGATCTGGTATAAATGATACATACATTGTTCTGTTACATACATATATATATATATGTATTTTAAAATATGCACTCACACACATACACATGGTTCATAATATTAGTATGGCAAATACTTAGTATGAACCTCGGCCTTGAATCTGAAACTTGTAAAAGTGAACTACTAGACTTCTGCCGAAATTGAATGACTGTGCCCCATAGGCAGTGGGCAATATAATAGAACATGCATAAGAAGAGTCATTGAACTTGCTCAAGTACTGATTAAACTCTAGCTCAATGCTTCTACCTTGCAGAACCTGGAAAAAGGTTGAGTAGAAAGCTGTAACATGGAGCTGTAAATATTAATGGTAATATTGTAGTAACAAAATAGGATACGATTTCAACCTCAGCTCTTCCTTCTGCAGGCTTTTAAACATCCCAGAAAAGAGCTGCCTGCTTGATCCTGATTTAGCATTTTTAATCACCGATCCTGAAGTTATTACATCAGGAAAATTTACATGTGAATCAAAAATTAGAATCGTAAAATAATAACAGATGTAAAAATAAGACTATCCTTGGAAGCTGTATCACAAAAGACTTCAGTATAGTACAAGATAATTAGCAGAACCCACGTGCAGTTGTAGCCAAAGGACTAACACAATCCTTCCATGCATTTACAGTGAACATAAACCTCTGTACTTTTATTAAATCTATTTTCCGCTCTACATCACCATTAGTAAACTCCACCCCATTTCGATACCCATAATCAAAGAAGCTGATAAATTAAAAGGAGTGGGAGGAAGACAGAGGAAAGACAGACAAGTGACACAAAATATACCTCCTAGCCAAGTACCCTTCCTAACTGTAATGCTTTTTTATTGTTGTGTTGTTTGTTTAAAATGAAATATGAACATTTACCTGGAAGATATTATTTACTTTGAACAAGAATTAATTCAAACAATTCACATGGCCTATCTTCCACATCAGATTTTAAACATGGGCCTCCCTAATGGTCCCTTTTACACCTGTAATCTGTATTGTTTCTATCATTCCAGCACAAGTAGGACGAATTTGCATCCATGTAACTAAAGTATTACTATTCTTCCCCTTTTTCTAAGATCACATGCCACCTTTGAGAGTAGCCTTTACACTGAATTCAATAGTCTGTTGAGGAGTTAAACTGAGCACTGCTGCATGATGCTAATGAGAACAAACCAAACAACATAATGGCACAGTTGAATGTATAGCAAAAGTTTTAGTATTTCAGGAGTCTCCTTTTCACACTGGAAAACAGAAACAATCAGATGATTATTAAAGCAGATTTGTCAACTCTTCTATATACAGGTCGATTTACAACATTAAAAGACTCCTCTGATCACCACACTTCCACCTCAATCATGAAATACTTCCTAGGAACCATATCAAGCAGAGACCAAGCTCAAACCAAAGTTTCAGCAGGGTTCATTTAAAAAACAAACACACACACACACACACAAACAAAAAACAAAACTTTTTTTTTTCTGAAAAAACATTTAAAAACATTTGATTAAACTCTTAAGTACTCTAAGCTGAGTATCACTGCAAGAAGAAATCACGTAACAGTAAAAATTGCTTATTTCTTGAAAATGTTACAGCTTCTTCCAAAAGAGTTACATACTGAAATTGTTTCAAGATCGGAGGAAAAGAGAGGAAAGGATTTTCAGAAAACCTCTACTGAGCCTTTGGCTTGCCTCCTCTGCCCATTCCACACCCTTATCCAAGATGTCCTTCCTTCTCAAAGCCCCTCAGGCAGGAACACTGCCTTCCCTCTGTGCCTACAAGGAGAGGGAGGTAAGCAGGGCAGAAGCCAGTGCCTCACACAGAGTAACAGCCTGTGCGTGGGCAGTTAGCAGAAACAGTAGTAGCAGATGACTGATGAGACAGTGGCTTTTTTTTCCCCTGTCATGTTTTTTGGTGAGACAGTAAGCAAAACCCAGGTAGAACATTGCCCTGAAAGCTGAGCCAGCATCAAATGCAAGGCTGCATTACTTCTCCCAAAACTTGCTAAGCTGTAAGGAGCTGAAGCATAGAGGGAGCTTTTTCGTAGGCTTGAAAACAGGCGATGGAAAGAGATAAGCCTGCCTGGAAACTTCAAGTTTGTGTAGGACTAACAAGGTGGAGGAAGCCATTAGGTAGAAAGAGTGCAGAACACAGAACAGGGGCAAACATGGCTTAGGGTAGAGGAGATCAGAGCTCATTTTACTGAATCTTGGTGAAATAGTTTTGAAGATGGGTGGCAGTGGGTAGGTGTAAGAGTATGAATTGTTTTATGGAGGAGAGGAGTTAAAAATTAGTGCACAGAGATTTGGAGCAGGTCAGAGAGTGGAGTATAGGCATACACTGAGGAAGCAAGAGAATGCGAAACCATTATGAAAACAAAGAAGAATCTATTTAATAGAGTATTTTTTATGATCAGGACATAGAAAGCCATGATCATGCTATTATATAAAATCCTAATATCGCTTAAGGCCAGAAAAAAGTTTGGAGCTAGTCTTTACCCATGACTGTCTTCCTCCTCTCTCTTGGTAACAGCTACTAGAGCAAGAATTGCCCACAAGACAGTCTCAAACTACTACTACTGGTAAATAGTTTATATTGCATACTTGCATGTACATTTTGCACGTACAAAACCATGCCTATACTTGGCTAGAGTAATTTATCATATTAATAGGTTTTTAAATTGTGGTGTTTTTTAAAAAGAGAGCATACCTTCTGGAGATGAGAAAAAATGATGCAAATTTTAAAAAAATCCCACCGTTTCTTCCTTTTCTTGCCCTATATATGCTACTCAGAAGTCTACCCAATTATTTTAACAACTAATTTTATTCTGATGAAAAAATTTCAAGTCTTAAGCTATGTTAAAAAACCTCCCAGGTTGCTAGTATTATTAGTAAACCCCCCCCCCCCAAATCATTCACTCTGCTTATTATTGTGAACACTAATTCCCGCTTTGGGATCAAAATAATCTACACAATGTATACTTTTAATAAGCCTTGAATCGACTACAGGAAATGCATATACTGTACCCTGCTACAAGGAAATAGTTCTTGAAACAGCAAACAAAAAATGAAACGATAAAACTGAAGTAGGTATCATTTGAAACATACCAGCAAAGTAGGCTAATCTGAAGCCTTTTCTGGAGATGCTATCATCTGAATGAAATCTGATCCAAACATGATCCTGTGAAGAGATGTACGGTGAAGGAATGGAGGAGCCACACGCTCTGTAGCCTTCAATATTCTTGTAGCTTCCAATTGTTAACCAATCTGAGCTGCATCTTCGTGATCCCTGAACATCAAAATCTTGAAAGCTGGGGGGGGGGGGGGGGGGGAAGGGGAAAAAAAAAAAAGAAAAGGTCAAAATCGCTACTGAACTGGATATTACACAACCAAGCTAATGAATTGCTACACATAAAAATGGAAATTAGCTGTAAGTTCTTTTCTGGTCTGAAATAAAAAAAGCAGCTTCTCTACCCATGTAAGAATAGGATTTAACCTTGTGGTGATGATACTTTTATTAGGACAGCAAGAATCCATTCTGTTAACTAAAATATTGCATCTGCTACTTAAAGAAGCTCAGTTTTGCTATAAAAAACACATCAAGCCTTCATCTAAGAAAAAGAAAATTAAATAATTCTGTTAATGAAATTGTCCTTATGAGTCTCATTTAATGACTTTCATATACTACTAAGTGGTTTTATTTAACCCGAATTTCATCAGAACTTTAGCTAATGCTACACGCAGCCAATGATATGACTTGACATTATAAATACAGCTAAATTGGTCAAAACTGTGATTTCAGATAAGATTTGGTCCCAGTTGCACTACTTGGTTACCCAATGGGTATGTCATGGAATGTCAGGGTATGGCTACAGCTATAACAAGACATGCTGCCATGGTAATGAAGTGTGAAGGGGAGACAGTTTGGACAAAACAGGTCAGTACATACAACACCGCAGTAAACTAGAAATGAAATGTGAAACATCTGCTAGGTAGATGAGTGGAAGGAAACAATGTGAGAGAAAAAAAATGAGTTTTATGAAAAATAAACTGTACGAAGAAAGTTTAGAAAGCATTCTAGTAGATGAACGGCTCTACCTACTTTACATTGCATTTATGCCAGTTTAATATTTAGTAGAAAGACTGTTTAAATTAAATAGCAGTACTTTACAAGAGTAACTCATGTCAAAGCAAATACTTCATAATGAAGAGCTGCTTCTTAGGTCTGCAAGTCTGTACTGGAAACTGAAGTAAATATGCAGCTAATGCAGTTTCTTGCTAAGCAGTACTAATTTGTATCTTGATGCTAAAACTAGCCTAGATTTCCCTTGTGGCAGTAATGGGGAATGAATTCATGAGAACTTGAACCTACGATACAACTTTTTTACATTACTTCTTTAGAAAAGTTGTAAGGTACATGAAACTGTGAGGAGCTCCCTGCACCAAAAGTCAGATTTCCAAAACTGCAATCATATCTATTGATTTACTATTTATACGCTGCCACTTTTAAGCACACCATGAGACTTCATAGCAATGAAGCATTACAGAATTTCCCCTACACATTTTTTAATGCAAAATTCTTATATTTCAGAGACATTAAAAAGAAATCAAATAAATGAGCACATAGAACCTTTTTCTAGTCGCCAACTCTCCAGTTGAAACCAAATGCTACGTGGCTATGTAAGAGCAAATCAGATAAAAGGAAAGGCAAAACCCAAACCAAACAGAAATCCTACATTTACAGGAAGGAAGAGGAAATTGGTACATACACAATTGGCAGTTAAAAATGTCTAGTCAGTACTTCTTCAATCCATGTAGTTAATACAGGAGCACTGTTACCTTATAGTAATGATCTCCCCTGGGTTTGCATGAATGTACCAGCTACAGTTGATTCGGGCTGGATACTCAGAGGGCCACCCTGGACTTGTGATTGTCCCGCTTGGTGATCGAATTTGTTCTGGAATATCTCCACAAGCTAAAAAACACATATGTATTGAAAGCAACTTGATTAATGCCATTTTTTAAAAAGTCAATAGGACAAAAATCAAACAACACCTATCAGGGAAAATATCCCACTGAGTTAGATGAGGTATCAATAAAAACAATGTCTAAAGGAGTTCATAATGGACACAGGTCACAACATGTCAGCCAAAAGATGTTTTCTGATGTTGCCAGTGCAGACGTTTACGCTAATGTCAATTAGTACTAGAGATTAAAAAAAGATTACTCTGTACAGACTTGGACAACTTTATTAGTAATGTGAAAGATTTTGTATTTCCTAATTTTATTTTTAGCCTTCACAAAGACTCAGTTCAATTTAACTATGCATTTACACCTTATACTGAAAAATGCATTAGAAGGTGAAAAATAAATTAAAGCAAAATAATCAAGTAGTTGAAATTTCCTGTCTTAGGAAGACCCAGTGCCTGGCTATCATTTAAATACCCCCTTTCAGCCCTTGGCATGGAAACGATCTTCATACGCATGATTCCAATGCTTGGAAGGGACAGAGCACTTACTGCAGCACACTTCATTTATAGGTATTAAAAGTTAGGTTTACAAGAGAGGGGCTTGCATAACTACATTTCTGATAATGGAGTAGAAAGCTTGTATTTATAGGACTAATTCTATGCAACTGAAGTAACTCAGCCATTTGTATTCTTACTTTATTATAGGTGTAGCTTTCTGTATTGGCCTTAACTCAGTTGCTTGTTCCTTTCACTGGAGTGTTCTCAGCTCTGCTGATTTTATTTCAGGTAACACAGTTATTAGTTTTGTGGTTTTGTTTTGCTGGGGTTTTTTTTCCCCCTTAGCAGCCTTATACCAAACACCTGTCATATAGCATATTCACAACCTTCACATAAATAGGAGGGCCAGAATACTCTCGCTACAGAGCCTGAAATTATGAGGAAGTTTCAGAGGTCAGAAAACACATTAAAAATAATTGCCCTCTGTGCTTTTATTTTACAATTTCCTCACTGCTAATCCAAGACTTGTGGGTTCTCAAAGTTTACTGGTAGCACAATCAGTTACACACAGTAGTTTAAACACAAGAACTATTACAAATGAGGACGCATTTTCATTATTGTCTGATGATCAAAAGCTTTTAGAATTTTTTAAATTTTGAATATGAATTTGATTAAAATAACAAACCAGAACTGATGCAGTGAACAAACACGATGAAGAATGAACTGCATTTCTGCATTTGTAGTAGTGCAAAGTTGTAATAATGTAATTGGTAAACAGGTTATTAATTTTTTCTATTTTTATCCACAATCAAGCTTTTAAGATCATTTTTCAAGACTACAGGGACCTGAAATTATTGACTAGCTCTAATACAATAAAAAGTTATATTCTTAAATGATCATTATTACTTTAAAATATTTCTATACGGCATAACAAATACATTTCTAAAAATAGGCTTAAAAGGATTAAAAGACAAAAATGCTCACATATGCCTGCATTTTCTGTATTAGCTTAAATACAGAACAAAATAAAAATAAAACAAAAATGAAACTCAGTAAATTTACTGTTTTCATGTACAGCTGTAAGAAAACATTGTTTTAAATAGTTTTTCACATATTTCTTATTAAAGCTTCATACATGCTGCACAGTTAAGTATTAACATACTTTGGCTATAGAACATAGGACCTGTCCTAATATCTATGGACAAAAAAGTCTCAAAATACAGAAAGATATTATTTTATTTGAATATTCAACCAACTATTCCCTGGAAACTTTCTTGTTTTAATTTTGACCAACCCCTATAGGTGGTGCTCTAACACCATGATACTTTGGAACACTGCTCCTGCGTGAATGATCTGGATATACTTTACATATGTTCAGACAAAAAATGGACGGACAGGAAAGAAAAAACTGGTTATTCACAATTAAATGTTGAAGTAAAATAGCAGTTTTCACAGATTCAAAACAAAAACACGTGCAAAAAAGTAGAAGAATGTGTAAAACATTTTGTACCAAGCTTGCAGATGTTGGCAAGCAATTCCACGCACTACGTGTTACTACTGGAACAGTTCTCAGCTTAAAATAAGTTGCCTTCAGTTGCCTGCAACATTCACCTGGTTTTTGATATTTACAAATTGACATACGAGATTTTGTCACTGAGAACCTCTAAGGAAGCTTTTAAATTTGCCCGACTAAGAAAAACCTTACACTAGAAGATAAAAAAAATCCATTCAACATATGTTCATTCAGTTTTACAAAGTTCACCTCCAAAAACTTAAGCATGCTATAAACATATGTGCAGCATGTGCCTGTCAAATAGGAACCTCCAAACACTGCTAGCAACTGTAAATTACTATGCAATTAGCTTTGCAACTTCCTATGCTGCACAGCGCACCCTGACAACTATAATCTACTCAATCCAGTCCCTGCAGCAGTCCAAACAGTAACTTTTACTTGTTACACAAGTTTGAATGGAAGAAATTCCACATGGAAAGCCTGTATAACCAAGGTAGTATTTTCAGAGCACCATGAAAACTTCCAGTTTTACTCAAATTCAGGTTTTTTTAGCCTTTGTTTGCAATACCAGCCATATCCCTATATTTTCTATATTCTTTTACTTAAGATGGCTTTTTCTCTGTTTCCACTAAAGCTAGCACTAAAGAGCTGAGGGCAAAGTATGACCATTTCCGGCACCATCCCATATGGGAAAAGAGAAGCAGACTAAGGAGGGCATGAAGAAGCAAGAATGATCAGAGGCACTAAAATACAGGGTGGAGCGAACAATACTGTACTTCTGCTGTAGAAGAGAGAAAAATCAAACTGAAGAAAGTGTGCATATGACAAATTGGGGGTTCAAAAAATAAAAGGGAATGGACTTGAAAAGGGAATTACAGCTTCCTTAACTGAAGGTTAGCTAGATAAGCTAAATGTACTTGCATACTTGGTGTACATTCATGCACTGAAATCTCTTACTTCTAACTCAGGAGACAACAGAAATCTCCCATTTGCTCAAAAAGTGTATAAAGGTCAAGATCAACTTCACTTCAGAAGTGCTGTCATTTTGAGAGAGAATAACTTCTCAGAAAGATTTTTAAAATCAAGGATAACCTTTTGAAATAGAGCAGTTTTAAAGGGAATCTACTTTATAAAGATAACATCAAGCCTTTTAAAATCAATTCCTGACCCTCTGCTTAACTAGGACATTTCTTCTAAAGCATTTGAGAATATAATGTAACATACATTTTATTGATGTGTTTGTAAACATGGAGAATGTGAGCAACATCAAGAAGGGCATGGGAATCAAAAAAAACAATTTAACTGACAGCACGTAAAACAGACATGTATGAATAGAGGCAAACATCTTTTCACTAAGTTGTGGAGAATTTGCACTTCTACTTTAAATTGCTAGTGGCCCTGCAGGCATTTGTCATACAGGTCAGTTATATGTATAGGAACTTAAAACTACAGGAAAACTGACTAGGTTTGGAATAATTTATTAAAAGTATTAAAAATACATAAGAAAACAACACAATGAAAATTAGAGGAGTCGGGAAAAAAAGGAGATGAGTTTGGAAAGGAGGTAGAAGCACAAAACAAACTGAGAAGGTTGCATCAGAGAAGCAAAGATACATAGCGATGCATGCCAAAATGTTTTCAAATCTCATGCTGGCAGTTATAAGATTTTTGGGTGGGAACAACTCCCTCCTGCACAACCATTTCTACATGGGTGTTGTCTCTGCCTACATTCCTCTCAATTCCCTTATATTTTTTGGTACAATTCCACTCATCCATCTCCTACCTGGTTTAAACTCTTTCCTTTGTCAGCCTTTATTTTATTAACAATCTGTTTGCAATTCTGTTTGTTACTTTGCCATAACTCTGTTCAGTAGATTGCAATACTGTAATTAGGACTGAAGATGTTTTACAGACTGAAGTGCAAAATAACGGTCAAAAAAACTGCTGAGAGGATAAGCTGTACACGTGGTTTTCTGGTGTATATGGATTTTCTTGTAGACTTTTTAAAAACATGTACAACAGTTTCCTTATTCCCTTCTTCCTGAAATTTGTTCACCACCCCACATTACAGAATATGACTGTAAACTACCTACGGGATGTTGACTGGTAAACAGAACAGAGGCAATTAAAACTTTAGAGTAGAAAATTCAACTTGCAAGTTATAACAAGAAAATAATTGAGAAACCTATGCAAAAATTCTGTAGCAAAATCTAGAGAAGTAAAGTACCTGTAGTAACAGTGAACAACATGTCAAGGAAAAAAGTCACTTGAGAAAAGCAGGGAGAGGGAGATTAGGGATTTATCTTCACAGTAATGCCAGGAGATTAGTTGAAAAGATAAAAGAATTAGCTTTCAATGTGAACCACAAGATGATAAGGTATGCATTATATTGGACATGGTAAGGACATGAATGCAGCTGGATAAATGATCTGAAGGTGTTTAAAACAGCTTAGACTAAAAAGAGAATAATGTGATAAAGTCTAAACCATGAATAGGGAGGATAATTATTGCATTTGTAACTCTCAGGAGCCACTGAAACTCTTATTTGGAGAACTACGGGGGAAGGCGGCATAGGAATCTTTGCCTCCAGGTCAAGCTCTAAAGCTTTAATTTAAAATGCCCTTTGCTCTGCAATACAGAGACACACTCAGCAAAAAGGAACCATCATAATTTTTTAAAAATTGTTGTGAACAAATGTTTTCAACAGTGTATAAGTTCTTTAAAACGGGGGGTGGGAGGGGTGGGGTGTTGGTTGTGCAGTTGTGACAATTACGGTGCTACATACCCCAAAGACAGACCTGAAAATATTTCTCAATTTTTCAGATTTTAAAGGCATAAACACTTGTTCTCTAGTGATAGCTTATACGCAAGAGACAACATTCCATTATTGCTGTTGGTAGAAAAAGTGTGCTCATATATTAGAGGTGTACCTGCAACTTGGCAGATATAATATACAGCAGAAGCATAAATACCAAAGACCACAGAGGTCTGTGCTATTAAAACATAATTTAGTAAGGTAGGTCATGTAGCCTTACAGCAGCAGCATGACAGGAAATCTACCATCAAGACAATCATTTTATTTTAAATCCCTTCTCAGTAGCAACTGTCCAAGAAAATCGCTTCCTTGGTTTCAACACCAAGTTAAAGTTGGATTTAGAAAGATTAAAGGCCAGATATCTTTGGTTCTATTTTACAGAAAGTCTGCTTAAAATTGTTTTGATAAATATAAAGCTGTCCAGGTATGCTTGATGGAATATATAATCTGCAAGTTCAAAAACATGTTTGGGAGACCCAGATTGTTTCAAAGAACTCAAAAATCATCTAAATCCATCTCCGTCTTTTATACTTGGGCCATACACCTAACATTTAAGATGTACATACAAAGAACTGTAAGAAAAATGCCACTGTGTCTGCCTACACGCTTTCTTCAGGTTTTCATTAACAGACTACCCCATCCCCATTATCTCAAAATTCTCCAGTGAAGAATTTTCAATTTATATTAAAATAGAAACTTTAAGAGTATAATATTTATTTTTCCCCAGCTGGAAAGCTATTTTAGAACACAGGACCGCCAGAATTTTTTTTTTTTTTTTAATTTATTTTTAAATGGAAGTCCTCACTAGATCTTTCTTCTCAGTAGTTAAAGGTCTGTCTACCAGCTGCTGTTATCTTGCGTAGAAAGTACATTGTGTTCTCCTCTTCTTGGCACTGCCTATTCAAGCATGCTGGCCAAAGTACTGAAAGCAGAGTCAAAAATTCCATTCACCTCTTGCCCAGCAGATGCTTTTCTGCCTGTATTGCGACCTGTGACATGACTGTTGCAGTAAACAAAGGGGTGAAGGGTTGTTAAAGCATATCCTGAAAGCTGCATAGCTAGGTTTTAGGCTGTCTGTGTATCTTGTACAATCCAATTCCAGCAACAATTGTTCCAACAGAGGCAAGTACATGTGCTGTTATTTATTATTTACAGTGTACCATAAATGTACTATATATGATACTTGGTGCATTACTATTGTTGAAAAGCAACAACATTCTTCATGATGCAGCACAAGAATGGATAGCAAAGGTCTTTATAATTACACTTTTGACAGTCTTTGAGTGGCAAACAATGGCATGGAAAAAGAAGGTAGAATGGTGTAACAGAGACCATCCACTGACCATACATTTATCCAAAAATTTAACTGTATGCACAAGTAGCAATGTAACATTTGAAGCGATACTGCAAGGATAACTACAGCAAGATGTGCAAGCTGTTGTCAAAAAGGACAAGTTTGCATTTTGACTCTTACTTCAGGAGAAGAGTGTGAAAAATCAGTTTGATTTCCAGGGATTAGTGGCAGCTTCCCTATGGAAAGAATGAGGCTTGTATTCTTCTACCCACTGAAGAAGAGTGTTTGTCTCCCCATTTGCACATATGCTGAGTATCTGTATCATAAAACACGACCAGCAGCTTAGCTGACACTGCTTAACATCTGAAGAACAAAGACTGTACGCTGGTATCGCCTAATGCCTTAATGGACATACAGTCACATCACTAATACAGAATAGTCCCAACTGTGGCTGCTGCCCAGAAGAGGCCTAAGACCGACATACTGGAAGAGAACGTAGCAACCTTTGAGCAACGTCTGCTGCTTTTATACCCCATATTCTCCCAGCATCTCATCAGTTTCTCAGTTTCATGAGTTCTAAAATTCTTTTTTTCTTGTATTAAGGAAACTGTGCAGTCAAGTGTACAGTACTTTCAGTTACTGCTTCAATCTAATCAGGTGAAACGCATAACTCCTGGATGTATATTATTTGATAGTAGCGGTGTCCAAAATTACATTTCAATACATTTCATTTCACAAAAACTTTACTGTGGAAAGAAAATATCAATTCAACTTAAACCAACTTTTCTCTTAGTTCAATGTTTGTATGGAAAAATAATTAAGCAGTCCACTTAGAAAGGCATAATCTGTTCATGAGCATGCAGGTATCAATTTTATCTTATGAGAATTTTTCCATGTTCCAGTTGCTTCATTCCTTATTACATGCTGCAAAAGGCAGTAATAATTTTTATAGCCAAATATCTCTTCATAAGATACCAGGTGGCTTTCAATATTTACTATTTAAGTCATGCATGAAATTTAAACATTACAAAAAATGACTTACCCGTTGACACTCCTGAAATATGCACATTTTCAGAATGTTCTGCAAGAGCACCATTTCCTAAAATTAAACATAATGAATAAGCTAATTTCCAAGATAAAATTTGTAAAAATTCTTCAGATACCCTTTTACAGAACAGAAAGAACAAAACTGAAATTATTTTAATTAATATTAAACATTAAAGGTCCTACGTACATTTTATAATAAAACTTAGAGAAAAACTAGAGAAAAAGTTACTATACAATGAAAATAAAAAACAACATCATTAGTGTACTAGGAACAATGGAATATACTAGAAAGTTAAGGAACAAGAGACTGATAGTAGCAAAGAGTTTTGAGAAACTTCAAGTATTTTAGATGGTAGATTTTGCATGATTTTGCATCAAATGTTATTTTCTTTTCAAGAAAGGTTTATTTCAATGCATCTTCCCCATCTCCTCCTGGATCAAGATTTGTAAGTAAATGCTATGCAAATAAAGACATCCGGGGGAAGAAATCCATCTATTTCATAATGAATTGCAGCCTATACTGTTTATCCAGAAAGATGTTTCAGATATAGCAAGGAACTAGCTACCTTCAAGACTAACTCCCCATCAATGTTCATTAAAACTAAGTATACTTGCGAAAATGAACAACGAGACCCATGTGGTCATCAAGAGTTAAAGAAAAAAAGTTATTCCTCCAAATCTCATACTACTTTGTACTCCTCCAAAGTAAAATAAGTCTGCTAAAGCGAATACGTTTGCTGATGGGTGGTTACATGATGTGACAGATCAAGTTGTATTAGTGCACATTGCCCCCACTGAACAGCTCTCATTCTCCTCTCCTTTATTCAACACCTTTTCTTTTAACCTTTACAACAAATTTTTAATAAAATCTTCCAGGCATTTTGGGAGGAGAGAGCTACTTTCATAAATAAGCTGCTTTGAGTATAGGCAGTGAATCTAAAATTTAAAATACATCACTAAGCAAATTTTAAAACCACAACTCCTAATCCCTCAAAGTTTTCTAATAATGAAGATTTGCCATGTTATGCAGATTTTCATACATGTGAAATCAGTTGTTCTACCAGCACTGCTATGTAAGTGTGATATGTTTGGGTAACAAGAACCTTAAATACGTGAAGAAAACTCAAATTCCTTTTATGCCAAGCTTAAAGACTGTTAGAGTTTACTTAGAACATACACACCTAAGCAAGCACCTTAATGCTCCTCCATTGCAATGGTTACAGATAAAATGTTTCAGAAATTGCTCCCAGGGTTGACACCAAATGCACAAAGACATATTTTTTTACTTCCTAAAGACACAATACAGTTAGAAACCTGATGATCAGAATTTGAAGAAAAATACCAAGTCTAATTTTTCTTAAAAAAAAAAAAAAATTCTTGGGCTCTTAAAAGTGACATGTTCCCTGCCCCCATTTTTACTGTACTAATTTCACTTCATATATTTACATACCAAGTTGCTTTGTCTCAATTTTAAAAAAAATTCCACACTGTAACAATTCCCCTCAACGTTCAAAAGACAGAAGTATTTTAAAACAAAAACTATTTCAAATACTATATTAGTGAGCAACTATTTTCCAATTAAACTGTTTTCAAAAATAAAATACCTGTAAGTTTTAAAAAGCTATTCTCCACATAATTTCTCCATTTTGCATATAAACCGATGTGCTAAGGAATGTTTGCCGCTCTGATTTCATGTCTTCCGTAACACTCAGCTCAAAATTTACAAAATAAACACCATTTTTGCTGTAAAGTGATTTTACCCGTAACTGATTCCACAGAAGTACATTTCTGATTGTCTTGTTTTCTATTATTTCTATCAACATAAGGAAAACATTAACACATTTCAAGACCTCTTGTTTTAAGCTAAAAATCGCTTACTGGTATTTCATCTTTCAAATTACAGTAGGGATTATTCACCGGGTTTGAATTTCCAAAAAGGGGTTATTAGCACATACAACTATATCTGTACTTGTTATTGAACAGCATGACAAAAAAGAAGGAATCCACCAACATTTAGAAACATGAAAAACCCTGAAGTAATTACATTGAAGACAGTCAATATCTGGGCACACCACTGAGCCCCAGAATCTGAATTACAGACAAGCTGCCAATATATAAATACCAGGAAAACAAAACCTCCAGAATTTTAATTATATCAGTTCTGACAAAAATACAATGACAAAACATGAAAATACTGACATAACACTGAAGTGATGGAAAGAAAAGCAATGTATATATAAAAAATTGACAAAAACTATAAATGAGTAATAATGAGCAGCATACTAAAACGGGAACTCACATCCAAATCCTATACACGTTGACTTAGAATTAATGGTTTAAATTAAGAAGAAAACTTAAGTCAATATCCAAAACGGAACACTTCAATATTTTCCATTTAACTATGCTTTATGATATAATAATTAATCTCCTGACATAAAGTGATGTCACATTTATTGTCAAACTAACTTCAGTGATTAGTCAGAAGAAGCACTAATGTGCGATGATGAAGCCTCAACTCAGATCCAAGTACTATAATATCAAAATAAGGTAGGTTTTTAAAAATTATTTCCTTCCCAATAATCCTTCATTACATGAAAGATGAAACTTAGAAACTTCTCAGATTATTACTTCCTTTTTTATTGGAAACTGGCACTGAAATAGAGTGTGTTCAGATGCCATTTAAGCATTACTAACTGCTGACACCTTTATGAAATTTTTAGGTAATGATCCTTATATGATCTCAACAATTATGTCACATGGTTCCATATAAACTGAGCCCACTATAATAATAATATCTCAGATAACAAATCAGTAATTTCCATTAAGATATGGGAACATAATTATCTTTGAAATTCCTGTTAGTCTATCTATTTAATACAGCAGAGTATAACTATATAAAAAAAAAAAAATTTCTTAGGTCACCAGTAAGCTTTCATATTCCTTGATGTTTTAAAGAAATATTTAGTATTCATTCCCATTTGAACCTGAAGTTTAAAACTGAAACAGGTGCCACCTAACAAAACTTGACACAAAGTTTGCCCACATCAGTTACAGGAGCTGGTTAAGTACATGTGACAGCAAAGTGCTGGAAGACGCACACCAAGAAGCTCCTGCACAAATCCATTCTGCCTGCGAGAAACCTAGTTTGTTTTTCAAAAACTGACATCTTCCATCACTTTTTCTTCTTTTGGTGACTTCTTAAAAAAAAAAAAGAATTTACTTGTGTAACCAGGACTATACCCATCTCCTCCATATCCCTTTATAAATACTTAGGACAAATGGACTGCTTATTTTAAGTGGTATTAAACAGAAATGTATGTCAACCTTAATCCTGCAGCTTAAGATATGGTCAGCAATTGCATTTCAATTAAAAAATTCAAATGGACAAGGCTCAAGATAAAAACAAGTGTTTACTATGTTTTTTCTTAAAAAAACCCAAAAATCAAAATAGAATCTTTGGTAAATAGGATACAAGACATGTTAAACTACTGGCAACCTATAGGTTAAACAAAGTATGGAAAGTACTTTTAATGGCTTTCTATTTAAGTCACATGAGTTTGTTGCCGCCACTGCTGGTAATATCTCTAAAGACTCCTTGACCGCAATTAAAAAAAAAAAAAAAATCAGCCAATTGGTTATTAAATGAGTTAGACTCTATAAAAAGTGTGTTTACAGTATGGAACAATCTCCAATTTCTAAGGTGCCTTTCTGACTTGAATAACTTTAAAAATCTCTTAAATATTCAAAGTATGGTTGTGGTCAAAGTTGGTCACTGATTCTGATGGACTCATCCATAAAATTTTATTTTATTTTCACAGCACAAAGCCAGTCCCTTTGACCTTCGTCAGTTTTTTCCATCCCACTCAAATCTTCCGAGCTGAGATGCTCTCTTGTCTTAGGAGCAGGCAGAAACAGCCAAGAAGTAGTTCCACGAATACTTGAATTAATTCCTTTTGATTTGTATCTCACTGCTGAGTACAGAAGCAGGCAAGACGACACTAGGTTTGCCTTCAGGTTTTTCAGCTGTTGGGGCATTTTTCCCCTATCAGTCTATATGAAACTACATTGAACAAGCCCCACCCCACCCTGAAAAACCCAACACCCTCACAACATCACTTCCAAACATCCCAGTCAAAGAGCCATGAGCCCTACACTCCTATATGGAGTCTGAAGAGGAGAACAAAACTACGTGGAAGATAAAAACCATAGCCTTGGAAAGTATTTGACTCACTAACATCTTCTGAGTTTCATCACAGATAGGAAAATAAACACAGGCCAGGGGAGTGGGGCTGGCAACAAGGAAAACATCACAGCAGCAAAAACTCCAACCAAACTGCAGAGGAAAATTAATAAGGGTGAAGTGTGGAAAAAACAATGCTTTCACACTTGAAAAACTTGACATGTTTGGAAAAAATAGCTGCCAGGTTCTATATATTTGAAACCCAGACAGTAGCAGTGATGCTCAGACTAACGTGGAGACTAACCACAATGCAGCAGCCTTCATTTTAGGATGTCACCCCCCTACGCCCCTCCTTCCCCATAGCCTCCGCAGCACAGCTCGCTCTCAAAATGGGAAGAATATCAGACTCAAAGGATTATCTGCATATAACTTCAGAGCATAAAACTGCCTACAGTCCTGAAATAAGCTTCTCCTTTAAGTTTTACTTATATTCATGCAGTTTTCAAAAAGGATAGCCAAACAGACCCCCGCCCCCTCAATAATTAAGCATCTCTCTTAGTCAAAACATTCAGATTAACCAAGACAAGCTTCTGCATTCCAGATATATGAACTTGGAGGTTTCAGACAAAGAACAAGAAGTTTATCTAAATACTGATATATTTGAGATAGGAAATAATGACTCTTAAATGAAAACCCCATTTTAATTTCAATTTGACTAAAACTAGTAATACAAACACAGAGTGAAGTGATAAAAATTGTAAAAGTGCACCCAAAAAATTTGGTACGTGCGACTTCGTCCACTGTGATTGTAAAACTGAATTTTGTAACTTCAGTTTAGAAGAACATCACGTATCTTGGAACTCAGTTAAATC